CCCGGGCTACAGAGCAAGACTCCGTCTCAAAAAAAAAAAAAGAATCAGGCATCAAGTCTAATGACCCTAATCATCGTCTCTATGAAAGTAGATCTAGGTATTTATTGATATATGAATGCCATGCATTGTGCTATTGATGAGGATTCATTCAAAAATGAATTGTGTTATTGCTGTACCTTTCAGAGAATTTACATTATTTAAAAAGAGTGGGGGGGGGCCTCAGGTATGAAAACACATCCTTGCAATGCAATGTGATGATTTCTTGATAAAACAGTTTATTTTGTACATTTTTATGAAAAAATAATTTCATTTTAAACCACAGATTTGAGAGAGAAGATCTGATCTCCTGGAATTAGAGTTGGTACAGAAACCATTTCAGCTCCAAAAATGTTGGAGGAAGATATGGAAGTCGCCATAAAGATGGTGGTTGTAGGGAATGGAGCAGTTGGAAAATCAAGTATGATTCAGCGATATTGCAAAGGCATTTTTACAAAAGACTACAAGAAAACCATTGGAGTTGATTTTTTGGAGCGACAAATTCAGTAAGTACTTGGCTGTTTTATTCCTTTGGCTTTGATTTATGAACTGTATCCAAGACTTATTGGAATAATAGTTAACTACTTGCAGTGGATTTCGAGATGTGGCCACTAGTGGCAGTGCTTATGCGACCGTGATGGTGGTTTCATCACGTGTGTAACTTTACCCTTTTTTTTCTTTCATCTCTTCCCTTCCTCTTTCACTTTTTTTCTTTTTCTACTCTCCTTCCCACGTTTTTTTCTGTCTCATATCTGTTTTAGATTTATTGGTGACACCTTGGGCATGTCTTAAACACAAACTGATGCTGACTCCAGTGAGATTTCCAACTGCTGTTTTCTTTGGAATGAAAGTTGTATTACGGGCTCCTTTTTATTAGAATGTCTGTTCTCTTTTTGAAACTAGGCAAGACTACGGAAGTTAGAGAATTAATAGTTTGCTTTACTCTAAAGAAATAAGACAAAATAAATTTGGGAGGGCAAAATTTGCCTATGAGAAGGAAATCTTACTTTAGGAAATTCAGTTGGATTCTAAAACACATCAGAGTAATATTTTTTGTCATTAGTCCTGAGAATGTCTAAGGATATTTTAAATTGTAGCAGACAAACTAAAATGTATTACCCAAATAAGAAATACTACAAACCTGGTTACTGGCCCAACTTTAACATCAAAGATAATTTTATCATTTTAAAGATTAATTTCTAGTCTGCATTCTGTTACTCTCTTTTAAAAAATATTTCCATATTTGCTTCCTCCCTCAGAACATATTTTAAGAGCAAGCATTTTAAGTCTTGATGATGTTTGCTTTTTGTACTTACTACCTGAAACCAAATAAATATTTAAGTATGCAGTCAATCCTTATTATTTATAAGTTCTGCATATGCAAATTCACCCACTTTGTTTTATTTATAATAAAATATTTATTTGTAACTCCAGAATCAGTATTTGTGTGCATTTGTGGTCATTTGTGGACATACATAGAGCAGCAAAAAATTGAAGTTGCCCAGCGTGCACTTCCCAGCTGAGGTCATCAAACAAGTCTCTTTGTTGTTTTAGCCCCTCATACAGTAAACCTGTGTCCCTTCTGTGTTCTGTGTAATGCCCCAGTTTTTACGTTTTGTGCTTTTTCTTGGTGATTTTGCTGTTTAAGAATGCTCCTAAGTGTAGTGCTGCAGTGCTGTCTAGCATTCTTAAGTATAGGAAGGCTATGATGTGCGTTACAGAAGAAATAAATATGTTAGATAAGCTTTGTTCAGACACGAGTTACAGTGCTGTTGGTCGTGAATTCAGTGTTAATGAATTAACAATATATATCAGTAAGGTGTCTTAAACAGAAACACATAAAGCAAGGTTACGTATTGATCAGTTGATGAAAATGTAACCAGGGGTTCTCAAGAACCTAACCCTGTATTTCCCTTAGGAGCAGTGGTTCAGTATTTGCCAATTCAGTGTTCACACTGGCATAATAGAACATAACTACTGTGAATAATGAGAATTGACTATATGACAAAATAGAGTAAATTTTAAGTTCAAGGGCAACCAGGGAGCCAGGGAGGTAAATTCCCTTTTTTTTTTTTTTTTTTTGAGACAGAGTCTCACTCTGTCTCCCAGGCTGGACTGCAGTCGTGCTCCACCTCCCAGGCTCAAGCAATTCTCCCATCTCAGCCTCCCGGGTAGCTCGACTACAGGCATATGCCACCACACACAGCTAATTTTTGTATTTTTGGTAGAGACAGGGTTTCACCATGTTGGCCAGGCTGGTACTGATCTCCTGGCCTCAAGTGATCCGCCCACTTTGGCCTCATAAATTGCTGGGATTATAGGCGTGAGCCACCGTGACTGGCGGTAAATTGCTTTTTTGCATTCTTATTCTCATTTTATCACGAAAGCATCAGAACCCATTGGAAAGATGTAGGGAAAGGAGAGCAAGCAGTGACCTAAGGGAATTTCCCTTCCCAAGACGTTAATCTTAGACCACCACTACCTGTGACTGTGTCAAAGAAAAAAACATGGCAGATAAATCCAAATCACGTGGGAAGCTATAGCTTTAGGGGAATGTTTTTCACTCTTTCACTGTTGGTAATGATATCAACATCTGAGAGTACTCAGTTTTTCAGGGTGAAACTGACAGTATCCATGTGGTCCCTGACTCAAGATGGTTTGACTCAAGAGTTTTTCAACTTTAGCATGGGTTTCTTGAGACATAGCCCCGTCATAAGTTGAGGAGCATAAGGATTTGTAATGGTTCAGCTTATGAGTTTTTTGAATTTACAGTGGTTTAATGGGGTGTTAAATGCATTTTTGACTTAAGGATATTTTTGACTACAATATTTTCAGCTTACAATGGGCTTACCAGGATGTAACCCCCAATGGGGTTTATTGGGGCAGCCCATCGTAAGTCAAGGAGCATTTGTAGTGTTAATCTCTTCGGATTTGAAAATGAAAAATATACACAAAGCTATATTACCAAAAACATTTTCCTTTACATATGAAATGAATTCATCTCTTGTTTTAGAGTTAATGATGAAGATGTCAGACTAATGTTATGGGACACTGCAGGTCAAGAGGAATTTGATGCAATTACAAAGGCCTACTATCGAGGTAAAACACAGGATTTATTTACTTATTTTGTTTGGGCACATTATTTTGGCTAAATAACTAATTTTGCTTTCTTTGTTTCCCATATAAGCGTTTCTCTTGAAGAATAGTTAAAATAATTTCGAAGTATTTTTTAAAACCCCAGTTCGTTATTCTTCTAAAGATCTTGCATGTTAGCAAATAACACCTGTACTGTAGACAGTTTATCTCTGCCTTAGAACTATGTGACTCATGTAGGCTTTCCCAGGCCAAATCAGTAAGAAGCTCTTAAATGCCTACTTTGACCCCAAGAAAATGACTGTATAGTCAGAGAGTGGAAGCTAACATATGAGAAAGTAAAGCCCTGGCAAATAAGATGGCATTTGTTATGACACATGAAGTCGCATGGTAAAGCCTTTTCAGTGCTGTAGGAGTTCAGAGAAGTATGAGACACCTGTGAAAGGAAGGAACCATGACTAAAGAATTTAAGGCTCTAAAATGTGGGCTAAAATTTTTTAAGAGGCTAAATTAAACTTCCGAATGGAACTTAAAAGTTTCCTTTAACATCTTCTTACAAAATTTTGCCCTTTTCTTTTGGAATTTAAAACACCACTTTCAGTGTTCCTGTAACTCAGCTGCCAATAGTGATTAAAGTGAGAAAACACAATAACAAAAGCTTGGTGGAATACCATGTAGCATTATAGCCTGCTGATGCCAAGTAAATATTAATTGATCATTCATATTGACAAGCATTTAATACTCTGCATTTCACAGATGCTGTGGGAAATAAAAAGGCACAGCTGACATACTGATTATTCCTTCTATGACGTCCCTCTTTTCTGAACTTTTCACCATGTCATAATTAAAACTTGTTTCCTAAAGATACAACTTCCTCTGCTGGCTTCTCTAAGGGAGGCTTTTTACCCATATCCCTGTATACTCACATTGTTCAAGACTTAAAGGATGTTGGGCAAAGGATGTCTTGTTTCTTACGACTGCTTCCAAACCATTCCTCCTCTTTTCTCCTTCAAAAACTTCAGCACCTTGAAAGTCCAGGTCATGAGACTTTTACCCACCACTAATCCCCCTGCTTGCAATGGTCCATCACCTTCCTTTATCCCTCCTTTGTGATAACACTGGCATCTGGCTCAGTTTCTTCTCCACAATTGTTTGGGTTGCTTTTTGAAAATTCAGCCTATTGCTCATTTCCTTGTTGTTTTCAAGGCCAACAATTGTTTCATTACCCCAAAATCTAAACCTCTGTAGTCTCCCACTCTGACCACTACTGCCTATGCTTGTGGCTTGCTAACTTTAATACCCAGACTCTGTCTTGAAACCATCAAGAGCTTCTGTGTTCATTGACCCTACCACTTTTTAAATACGACTTTCCACATGGCTTTACTTCTTTCCTTCCTCAATTTAGTTTTTCTAGTCCTGTAAGCATTTGCTTGCAAGGACCTTTAACTCCCTGACCTGCACTCTCTGCATAATACTTGCTCAGCAAAATGCCCAACCCAGTTAAACCCGACTATCTACCAGTCTGTATCCAAGCACCTGAACCATATAGAGAATATCAGACAACCATTCAGACTGAACTTTGAAGCTGCCATCACATAACATTAATGAGTATGGAGTGCTGCCAGGCACTCTCAGTGTTCTCTACTCAAGTCTCTGTCATTTTCCAAAAGAGCTCTTTTGTGTTTTCTCTTGCCTTAACCTTGGGAATCCCTTCCTCCTCTCCACTCTCTGCCGATTTCTTTGCTTCACTCTTCTTTGAGAAAATAGATGGAATCAGTGAAAACTGTTTTATCCTTCCCACTATCAAATCATGTTCTTGGCTAAAACTCTTCAGCATCGTATACACAGGACTTTACAACTGTGTTTCTCCTTGTCTGTCCAGTGTCATCTGCTGATTCGTCATTTGTACTTCACCCTTGAGAAATCCCCCATTTTTTTCTTTTCTTTTTACACTATGCCTGGAATGCTTTCTTATCTCACTTGTTGGCTCAAGTGAATTCAGTTGTCCTTAGGAGACAGTATCATTTTGGTTACTTTTTTTATAAAGTGAAATTCTACTGGTTCATCACACAGTCTCATTTTACTTATCAGATGCTATAACTTTATACTCTGACCTTAAGTAATGGATGAAATTCTGCATATATATACATACACACACACACGCACATATATATTTTTTATATATACTTAATATATATGCGTGTATATATGTATACATATTACATATATACATATATATGTATATATTAAGTGTATATATGTATATATGTGTATATACACATAAAGTATATATTTATAAATGCAAATATCTATATGTGTATATGTACACATATATTTATAAATATAAACAGATGTATATATACACATATATGTGTATGTAAACATGTCTGTGTACATATGTACACATATATGTATATGTGTGTATATATACATATATCTATATTTATAAATATAAATGATTTTGCTTAAAGGTATTTGCTCTGTGAACTAGAAGCCCCAGGAAAGTAGGATCTACCTTGTTTTTAGTTTCCCCCATGACTGTTTCTCTAGATTTGAAGTTTTATTCAGAAAATGTATATTAAGTGTCTCCGTTGTTCTAGGGATATAATAGGCATAGTAAACCTTGCCCTGGCTTCTTTGTCTTAACTTGTATTTATATTCATGTAATAACATTGCTTAGAAATATATCTGAAAAGTTTCCTTTAAGATAATTATCTTTTTTACTTCTCAAATCTCCTTTTGTTTTCTCCTTTTAAATCTACTCTTTGGTATCATAAAAATTAAAATATATTCTATCTTAGTAGAATGCTAGTAGTTGAATACTAAACAGTCCTAAAGAACAGATGATATGGAAGCAGTTATGAATTATTTTTTCAAAGTCTCTTTAAACATCCTGTATTGAAAGATACAGGTTTAATGAAACTGAAATAATAATGTGTACAATGGAAATTCTTCTGACTTCTTCATGGAAGTCTTCTTTAATATGTCACTTTGCCCAACTTGAAAGGGAGCCTATGTTTGTGTGTCCTGGATTATCAGAGAAGAAGTACTTGAAAATAGAATAGATATATTGAATAGCGGTATACCAGTATATGTCTCTTGAAGAAATCTATATATATATGAAAGTTCCAAGTGACAGTGTTATGAACTTTGAGGTACAGTTTCATATAAACACATAATTTCTTCTTTTAGACAGGATTTACCACTGATTTTATTGAAGTGGCTTGCTTCTTTATTTACAAATTTATACCAGTTATATAAAATAGATATACTTGAGAAATTGGGTGAATTCAAGTAACTTTTGAATATATAGCTTATTTTTTTCACTTTTGAAAATGTAGGATTTATTGTAATAATGACAACTAAGGTTTAATAATTGTACTAACATATAAATGACCAGAGAAGTTGCCTTTCTAAATTGGTAACAAGGAAACTTGACTTCCACTGCCTGCTCGAAAACACATTTTGGTTTCTTGCCACCACTACTTACCACCATTTACTGTGTACTTTAAGGCCTCCCATCCACAGTAGCTTTGGTTATTCTCTATGGCTACCAGTTTGGATCCTGAGCACCTGTATCATGGTGTAAGGTTGAGAATTACGTTTTTACTACCCCAAGCCATTCTTGGAGTAGATGGTATTGTTTTTTTCTCCCAAGGCTCTGTCATTCAAGTAGATGATATTTTAATCAAATTGTGAATTTCATCAGCCTTGACAGTATTGATTAACAGGTCCTAAATGTACAGTTTTATTCTTGAGTAAAAGTTATTTGTATTTTTTAATGGGGTTATTACCACTACCTTCCCCATACACTCAGGAAAAAAGTAAACATAAAACCTACGTGGAAATACCAAAAAGTAGTAGTATTAATTGAGATTTTCATTATTTTACTTTTATCTACTGAACTTTGTCTTCTAAATTCTCTGCATGAAATGTCTGTTCTTTTTCTTTAGGAAATAGATAGGCTGGCCTATTCCTTTGTAAGCTTTTGACAGTTTGATGTGGCAGTTACTACTTTTTAACCAATAGGATTATTTCTAGAGAATATATTTGACATTATGTTTCTGTAATTTAAAAAGGCAAAACTGGCTGGGGGCAGTGGCTCAGGCCTGTAATCCCAGCACTTTGGGAGGCTGCAGCAGGCAGATCACCTGAGGTCAGGAGTTCGACACCAGCCTAGCCAATATGGTAAAACCATGTCTCTACTAAAAATACAAAAATTAGCCTCGTATGGTGGCGCACACCTGTAATCTCAGTACTGGGGAGGCTGAGGCATGAGAATAGCTTGAACCCGGGAGGCAGAGGTTGCAGTGAGCCGAGATCATGCCACTGCACTCCAGCCTGGGCGATAAAGCAAGACTCTGTCTCAAAAAAAAAAAAGGCCTATCTTAGTAATTTAACTTTTTTTTTTAGCCGACTATATTAAAATGGCAAAGAGGGTGAGATACTGAGACAGGTCCTCAGTTTCAACAACTTCTTTTTCTAAATGGTAAAAATAAACATTTATCACAATACAATATGAATTAAAGAAAAAACAGCAATTATACATAAAATTGAAAAAACAGTGTATTGAACATTATTTTATGTTTTCCCTTTGGGAAACCTCTTTGGGGTTCCATTAAAATGCTTTTGGTTGCTGCCAAAGAAAAGGAATTTCAAACTGGCTTAAAACTACAGAGATTTACTGATTTGATAGAAAAGTCTGGAAATAGTATCCCTTTTAGTTATTTGTTCAGCCTATAACCTTACTGATTCTCCCGGCTTTGTCTCCTCTCTGTGTGAGGTACCTCCTCATGTTGATTTCCTTTTGGGTTGCAAGATTACCACCAGGAGCAATGAAGGCCACATGCTTTGTTTACATCCTTGGGGAGAGAGGGTTACTTCCCACAGCAGTGGTTCAGATGCCCTGAGCTTTTCTCTGACTAGACCACCCTTGACCTAATTGCAATAATGAGAGGGATGTGATTAACTGACTTGGATTGCATTGTTCTCCTTGCCACCACCACAACTCCCACCTCCAGCAGAGAATAGGTTTAGTCTACCTAAACCATATGGCTACTATACAGTGGGGAAAAGGTGTTCTTAGGGAGAGATGCCACCTAGGCAGTCAGACAGTATCTGCTGCTGGTACAGATTTATATAGTGATGAAATTAAATAGAAATAAAAGTAAGAGAAAGTAAGGGCTAGAAAGAATGAATTAAGATACAAATTTAGTGGTAGAAACACTATGCCATATACAGTTATGACTTGCAGATTTAAATCCAAGAAATGTGTTATTAATGATGCATAAAAATCAAACTAAAATTTTAAAAAGAAAAATCTTATTATAGTTCATTTAAAAGACCCATTATATCAAAGCCATTGCTCAGAGGTATTATTATGGACTTGGAATGCTGGCCTAATTGTATAGTGAGAGATTTTGAAACAAGACCTTCTTGTAAATAGGTTACAACAGAGCACAGATTAGGAAGCCTCTGGGATCCCAAAAGGTTTCTCTAAAGCTTTTTAGAAAGTCGACTCTAGGCAGTAGGAACCAGGGCTTTTAGTTAGTACAGAAAGATACAGACAACATGAAATAGATTTTTGTTACAGTTTTTTTACTGTTGACTTTGGTTTGTAGGAGAGGAAAAATATCTTTTTCCTTCTACTCTTTTTGGTCCTTGATTGGGTCTCTAACAAAGGATAGATTAACAAGAGAAAAGCTTACAAATTTATTTAATGTAAGTTTTAAGTGACAAAGGAGCCTTCATAAGGAAATGAAAACCCAAATAAACAGTTAAACCTGAGCGTTTTTATACCAGGTTTGAGGAAAAGTGCAAAGTCGTTGAAGAATGTGATAGGACAAATAGGAGCTAAGAGCAGTAAACTGGAGGAAACTTAGCAAGATTCATCAGCAGAGGTTCATTCAGATTCCTTTTGGTGTCCCTCTCTCTTCAGAAATGAGGATTCTCCTTTCCTCTGGGTATAGGGAGGTCACCTCTCACCTGAGGGGCTTATGACCTCCTTCAGGTGAAGGTCAGAAAATCCTTCCTTTGGGAGGCCGAGGTGGGTGGATCACCTGAGGTCAGGAGTTCAAGACCAGCCTGGCCAACATGGCGAAATCCCATCTCTCCTAAAAGTATAGAAAAATTAATTGAGTGTGGTGGTGGGCACCTGTAATCTCAGCTACTCAGGAGGCTGAGGCAGGAGAGTCACTTGAACCCAGGAGGCAGAGGCTGCAGAGAACCAAGATCATGCCACTGCACTCCAGCCTGGGTGACAGAGCAAGGTTCCATCTCAAAAAAAA